GCCATGTTGGATGGTGTTCACTATAGGTGGTTTGTAATCATTCCTAAGGGAATAAAAGTGGCAGCCATGTTGGATGATGTTCACTATAGGTGGTTTGTAATCATTCCTAAGGGAATAAAAGTGGCAGCCATATTGGATGGTGTTCACTATAGGTGGTTTGCAATCATTCCTAAGGGAATAAAAGTGGCAGCCATGTTGGATGGTGTTCACTATAGGTGGTTTGCAATCATTCCTAAGAGAATAAAAGTGTCAGCCATGTTGGATGGTGTTCACTATAGGTGGTTTATAATCATTCCTAAGCGAGTGAAAGTGACAGCCATGTTGGATGGTATTCACTGTAGGTAGTTTGCAATCATTTCAGGTAATTTATAAAAGTGACAGCTACGTTTCCTACGTTTCATTTTTCTGCTATCTTTAATGTGTTCTAGTGTCATCAAGCAACATTCATTTCATGGCCGCTGACAGCAGTGCCTGGAGTACTGTGGGCTCATGGAGGTGTTGTGGGATGTAGTCACCAGAAGACAGGGACACGATGCATGAATTTCGATAATCTTTAAAGGCATGGAGCATTCTTGGATGCATAAAGCATTCTATGTATGCAACCGTTTCTTTTCCCATCCGAACTGGAACTTTTGTATGGCAAGCCATGGACGGACCAATCTCTTGGTGACAAGCGTTTAACCACGTTGATGTCTCTTTCTCTTTCTCTTTCTCTTTCTCTTTCTCTTTCTCTTTCTCTTTCTCTTTCTCTTCTTTAAATTTTCGCGAGAATGAGTCTCTTTCCTACTACTTGCATGGTTTCTCTGTGTAGTCATAATAAATTGACCATGACTAAAGTTTCGGGTTTTAAATCTTTTTTATCAATAATCTGTGGTTATCACGGTATTGTATGTCTTTTGCATGCTTTTTTTTCAAAATGGCAAAATTATTTTGCGTTACGCATGGAATTATTCAAGGAGAAGAATGTTAATTTTGACGTGTATCTTCTTAAATATTTCAAAATAAATTAATTTAAAGAAAACAACAGCAAAGATCTAATGTTTAATGATTGCCAATACCAAATATTAGATCTGTTTTTTCCCACGTTTTTGTCGGAAAAGAACATTAAACCTTAGGACCGGTCTTCCTTACTTATATAACGTGGATATTAAGAACAACGTGAGGTCGCGGTTTCGTGGTACTTTTTATCACCATAGTAACTTATGAATCGCCTGCTAGAGGTACTTCATTGTAGCATGTACTAATCTACCTACTTAATTACTTAAACGAGCCTAGGTCATAGAAATACTAATCGATCTGGGATATTGGTTTCCAAAATACTATAGAAATGGTTATCCAGATTTTGATTTCCAAGAAGAAATATGGTATACTTCATTAATATTCCCCTAGACCATATCTTAGACTCTTGCTTACACCAATTCCCTCATGGAAGCCCATGCATTGACTTTTTCATTACATTTTTAGGTTTAAAAGTTTTTGTCTTCTTAGAGCAAAATATTTTATTAAATGAATAGTCAATTCAGTTTAAAACTAGAACTCAAAACAAATAGATAAACAGAAAACTTTATTTAACGACTTTTGACATTAAGCAAGAACAACTATATGCTTTTTGAAATTTATGAAAGTCTTCCCCTGAATTCTGTTTCTTATTAAGTATTACCTGCTCTATGACGGTATCGTTTTATTGTTTTGACTTCAGAGAGCTAATTCGATATTGCTCAGTTTTAAGGTCGGCCCTTTGTTTGATATTGTTCGTTAATCGTTGGTTCAATTGCAAAGTCCTTGAAATAAAATTAGAGCGCTCTATTTCTCGGGACCCTTTTCTTTATGAAACAAGGAAGAGAGGAAGGAAGCAAGGAAGCAAGGAAGCAAGGAAGCAAGGAAGCAAGGAAGCAAGGAAGCAAGTTAAGAAGTGAGCAAGGAAGGAAAGAAGAAAGGAACGAGCGGACAAGCAAGTGACAAGGAACTGAAGGAAGGAACTTAAATTAAAGAGAAAA